TGTCTCATCATCTGTTGAGCATGGATATGAATACTTAGCTCATTAGTTGCTGCGAAACTAAATTATTTGCCTGGGAAGTTTAAAAATCCTTGGATTTTAAGCCCTATGGGCATGTAATTAAGAGCATAAGGAACAGTATAATGACCTGAGCTATGGCGCACACCCACTTTTGATGAATAATATATGTGTAATGAAAAGAGAATGGTTGGAGTAATCACTAAATTAACTCTGACTTTTCTGGAAAGAGCGTCCCAGGGTCTGGAACTTCCTTCCCTTTGGCTCCAAGAAGAGGCAGAATAGATCTGGGTTCTTTGTTTCAGTGGAGGGCAGGTCACTTGGCAGGGCACTATCCACTGTGCTGTGGGTTGTGAACCCAGCTCCTGGAATGGATTTGAACCTGACTCTTCCATAAAAAGGAGGGTGAATATACTAACAGCTGACACAGACAGATAAATCCCATAATACTGTTGAACTCAACAGAGACTGTACATTTTGTGCAAAAATACGTAGGTCCCACAACTGTCAAATGAAAGAGAGAATTTTACACTATCTGTTCCCTACTGATATATGTTTGGCTGTCATCTTATTTCATAGTTCAGGCAATCGAAACACTGTTTAAATGTGTATCATAAACCTATAGATGAGAACATTTCCCTGCTGGATTTAAACCATTACCCCCAAAGGTGTTAAAGAAACCCTGCTGTGTGTCACTTTTTAAGATCAAGGGGCATTTTTTATGTTAATGCCTAGAAAAGGCAGATGAACACTAACAGCTGCTTATCCACAGGCTGGTGAATTGAATAGGGAAATACTTCTGTTCTGGAAGTCAGATCTCCAGAGAAAAGTGATAAATTGTGAGCATCTCTAAGTAAGAGTGATAGTCTCTAAGGATAGTTGAGCAAGGCTGATAATATAAAATATGTAAAATGTGGAAAATATTTAATATTTCTGTTTCTTTGCTCTAAAGAGTTGGAGGGGTTGTGTTAACAATATATACGGTGCTACTGTGCTCAGGCATGCAGGAGAAATGCAATATATTAATTCTCAAATCACTAGTTTGTGAAATGCGTTTCTGGTAACCAGGGATTTTCAGGACTGTTGCATTGATAAGGAGTCAAGGGCAGTCTCCTCATGGGCTGGGATGGCTCTCTTGGGAGAAGAAGGGAATAGAAGAAAAGGAACAGCAGATTAAAAGCTGGACAGTTTAGTGTTTCTTTGCTTACAAATGCTGATTTTTTTTTATTTTTTTTTTTCCCCCAGCTCTTCAGTCTGCAACTATTTAAAGCTATCTAGCAGCTTCATTTCTGAGTTATGGCCTGCCCTCCTGAGTGCTGAGGAATCAACGCTGTAAAAAGGCATTCTATAGGAAGTCATGGTGTACAGGGAGAACCTTCCACTGGATAAACAAACTTTACATAATTCCTGTGGGACAGACAGAAAGAGAAGCTTTCCCTCTAGACCCCATTAACAATGTTATGGTATGAAAGTCACTATGAGCAAAATACTTAGGAGGAACAACAACAGAAGAATATCTAAGATGCCAAGTCTTCTCCACTATTTGATCACCCTAATAGAGTAACCTTGAAGTTTTGCTGTCTTTTTTATGCAAGGATCCTAAAGTAAAAGCCTGGAGGAAGGGAAGGTACAACACCATCAAAGGGCTTAAGATCCACTTGTTATTCAGGTTTTACGGTCAGGGCTCAGATCATGCAGAATTAGAGCAACTGGAAGGAACTAAATAGACTCTTTTTCTGAAGTTCTTCAAATAGACAGACAGCAAATGTACCAGATGTGTCCTGCCAGGTGACTTTCATGTGAGGGGAGTTCTTTTGCAGGCAGAGGTGCATTTTACTGTTTCCTGTACCAGGTTTAATGAAAGAAGACTGAGAAGCCATAACCAAAAAAGAAGTATTGTTAACTGGGAAGCTAGCTAAACTGAAAGTTCCAGTGGATTTTTTTGGTTATAAAAAAATAAATAGATGTCAGAAACGGGTATCTCTTTGACGCAGTTCAGTTTTCTTACAACAAACAAACAAAACCAAAACAAAACAGAACAAAAAGGACAAAAAAGAAAGAAAATTTCTGCTTTCCAGAATGGATTTTCTTTTCTTGAATTTTCTGGTTGCCTAACAGAACATAATTATTTTCTACACTTACATTGTGTGAAACACATCACTTCAGTCTACCAGCCTCAAGGAACTGTAACTTCAAACATAACATTTTTATAACTAGAGACTTTTATAGCTTGAGAGAATTTTTTAAAACTGAAAACTGGGATTAAGATTGTAAATTCTTATAAAAGAAAGTTGATACTCAGTTATATGGAGTTTTGTGATTGATGACTGGATCCCGCTCAGCTAATCTCAGTTTGCCAGTAAAGTCTTTGTGATTAGGAGAATTTTAGGTCCTTTGAGTTTCAGTGATAGATTCCTTAAAGCTGCTCAGGCTTCACTGGATAATTGCTTCATCTCTAGGGTGTCACTTTAGCACCAGGGAAATGTGGGATCTTCTTTAAAACACATATTGTACTTTTTGAAAGCTGTTTGTAATGTATAACAGTAAGCAGAACAAAAGCAGAAACAGGAACAAATGATATCTAACACCTTGCTTGGCTCTGGAGGGCAGTTTTATAGTCTACTACTTGATATCCTATTTGCTGAAGAAATCAAGGACAGAAGGAGAAAGCTATAATGAGACTTGGTGAGTTTTGACTTGAATTGCTAGCATGTTTTTCCTTTCAGGTTAGGAACCGTGTGTGTAAGATCTGTAGTTTTTAAATTGAAGTGAAGCCACAAAGCCTCCTGCCAGCAGAGTTAATTTCTCTGGTTGTGCTTAAAAAGGTTCCTCTGTTGCACGCAAAAAACACCTTCCTCTGTGAAAACAGTGGAAGGTTTGGCTCAGAAATAACTTATATTGTTTTTTCATGGAATAATTGTAGGCCCCAATTCTTATAGCTGTATTTCAGTTTTTCTCCAAAGTATTGCTTGCTTTCCCCCAGTCAGAAACTGCAGAACCTCACCCATGCATTTGTCACATGGATAGATTTTTGGCTGCTCAAAGCTGGAAGCTTTCCTGCACCTTGTCACGTGCAGCTCACAAGTTTGTTCAAAGGTGAATTTTGGTACACTTGCACAAGAATGTAAGTAGCACATAACACTATAGTCCTTACTGGAAAAAAATTAGCAGGGGTGTAGCATGTTCTGCTGTTGCTCAATGGGAGACTGAAATTCTTGCCTGCCTTAGTCTCTGAGGTCTTGATTTAGAGAACTGGAATCCCTTCCAGAGTCCCTCTCAATATAATCCTGATAGCTAAACTTAGGCCCTCACCAGTCCAGGCACAGGTGCAAATGCATGAAATTAGAGGAAAGATAAGGGACAATTAGAGCAGAGCTGCCCCACACATTTCACTGCCTGGAATATATTCTGCTCCCTTGTGATTTTCACAGGCTACAGGTTTTCAGTTTGGTAAGATCACATTTGAGTATTATTGTAATGACACTTTGAGCCATGTATTTTCTCCCTTACATTTCTTCTTTTCACTTTACCATCTCACTTCCTCCATTCTGTTTTCTTTGATGCTGCTGTATCCTTTGATAGTTTTTCCACTGTACTTTTATACTTAGTTTCCATTTGTTGCGTTTTCCTTTATTCTCCAACAACTATTTTTTCCTTTCTCATTCTTTCACTCCACTAATATCCTCATGCTTTTTCCCTTCAATATTCCTAAATTACCTATCATAGGTCACTTATTCCTAGTGTTTCTGCTTTTATTTGTTAGTTTCTCTCATGAGATAAAAACATACCCATGCACATCCCTATATGGTTGCTTTCTTCTAGCCCCAGTCACCCTCGCAGACACGCATCCCTATTTCACACATGTAACTCTTTCTTCAAGGGGCCTTTCCTTTGATTCTTACGTATTTAGGACCTATTGCTGACTCCAGTGAAGCTTCACTTGTGTGTGTCTACCCAGAGCAAAGGGTAAAGGGAGTGACTGGGAGCAGAGCAGTATCTGTGCCTTGTTTCCCACCTGGAGGTCAAATAGGCAATAGCAGAACAAGAACCAGCTTGTCATGCAAGTGATTGAAGCTAAGGATCCCGGAGCAAGATGGCAGCAGTGCTGCAGGATGCTTCTGGCAGTGTTGATGGCTCTGGTCCTGCAGGACTGGGAGGACGGTAAGGGAAAGGACTGGCAGACTTTGCTTTTGTTGGCTTGCTTGTGGAGGGGGGGTCTTAGTTGCAGCCGAGCAGGTGAATGTCCTTAGTGAGACCACCAATGGTTGGATTTGCATGTGTGGCCTTAAGTTTGGAGTCCAGCATTAAAGCAATACAAGATACTGTAGCTTTATGTCAGCAGAGACTCCCTTTGAAAAATACACTGTTTAAAGTATCATTCAACTGTAAGTTAATGTAATGCTTGTATAAAGTAAACCTTGTTTACCACCTTTTTAGCAAAAGCAGCTATAAATAAAATAGATGCTTTCTTGAAAAGCCTTTGAAACCTTAGGAAAACCCAGAACTCCTTCTGCCTGAAACTGTTGTTTTTGAAACTCTGTTTTGTTTAGTCCTTCCTTTTTTCTTTCCTTTCTTTTTTCTTTCCTGCCTACTTTATAGCCAACATGTGCACTGAGAAGCAAGGGCTGCTGCTTCGTGGTTGGAGAGGCACAGCACCAGTAAGGCTGGCATTCCGCATGTCGCCTTTTGCCTGAGGGAAACATGCACTAAAAGTCTGGAGAATTAGAAGTGAGACAGTAGAGACAGCCTACTTCTGTCTGAGCCACTAGTTTGTGCTGCCGCTGACTCTGCCCACTGTTCTTCCTGGGGAAGGGGCAAAAGTGCCTCTTTATTTGCTTACAGTGGTACTTCAGGGCTCTGCTGTCACCTGCATGCAGAGTCATTTGCAAACAGGCCATATCGCTGGGGAGCAGAAATGTGTTTTTTTTTAAACTCTAAGCAGATTTATAGTCTGGTTTCCTGTCAGATCTTTGCATTTTCCTTCTCCGCCCCTCCCAGCCTCTGACACACTTTTTCTTAGTTTCTGTGTCACTGTTTGCTCATTCTGACACCACTGCACTTGTTTCCTTCATTCCTGATTCTCCCTAAACTTTTGGCACTTTAGGGACCAGGGGGTGTTTTGCTCCTTGTGTTTCCTTTACTTTTCAACAGCTGCAGAGCACAAATAACCTCTCTGAGACTCCTGGAGAGACACTGACAATTGCATGGAGGCGACATAGAGGGTTTCAGCCTGCAGCAGCTGCAGCAAGACAGCCCAGTCATTCATGAGCACCCAAGGTAAGGAAAGCAGCTGTCAGATCAGCTCCACCTCACTGCTGGCTAGGATAGCACTTGACTCTAATCACTACAAGTTCCACTTTCACCTATCACCTTTTTTGTGTTCATTTTCAAGAGTATGTTTCTTTGAAAACGATTGTGCTCTCGCCTTCCTTGCCCTCAACAGGTCTCGTTGTACTTTGCATGCATGGATACTTGGAGCTCAGGGTTCAGTGAGGTAAACAGGCTGTAGCTGGAGGTGCAAACATGTTTTTACAGAAAGTGTGCACCGAGAAGGAAAGTTGAAATGGAGGTCTAGAGAGGGGAGATGAAAGGAGTGATCATCAGCTCTGGTCTCCAGGGTATTTCTGGTTCTACCCATAGTGTGCTGTGCCCTAGCCTTTTCTTTAAATTGCTTCTCTGGGGATTTATGCTTTCTGTTAACTAATAAAAATAGTTCTTTGTTATTTTCTCTTTTAATTTGTTCTTCTCACTTCCCTTATTATTTTCTCAACCATAATATATCTCTTACCATCTTTTTCACTATCTTTTTATGCCTGTTTTTCATCAAGCATATTTTCTGTGTGACAAATGTTCCCCTTGTTCGTTCCTCTCCTTTCCCTCCGCCTTCTCTTTCTTGCCTGTGCAATAGACTGTACATCCTCCCCCATGTTCTTAATCTTTTTCTCCTTCCCCTCTGTCAGTTCCTTCTCTGTCTTGTGTTCCCCTTTCCTACTGCTCCTCTGGCTTCTCACACGCACTCCTACTTCCTGCTCCATCTGCTTTCTTATGCACACAGCATACATGGCTGCCCTGCAAAGTTAATTTTGCACACACAGAGAGGTGTTGCCTCTCCACTGCATATATGTCCTTGCACATATATGCTGCTTTCCACTCTGTCCCTTTCATGTACATGTGCATGATTTGCATATTTACAGGTTTGGGGATGCATCCCAAAATACAAGACTTTTATACTTGCACAGCTTCCTTCCAATTCTCAGACTCCTATTTAGTCATTCACAACAAATAACCGCTGTCATTCTGTCTCTCTGTTTCTTTCTGTCTCAAACAGAATCTTCTGACACCTATAACACACCATACCTTCCTCTCTACTCACAAATACAGCCTGCCCAGACTTTGTATATTCTATCCCTTCTCTTTCTATCATCCCACTCCTTCCTAAACCCTTACCACAACTCTCCACCAGGTTTCTCTATCTGTTTTTATCTTGATGTTGCATTCATATTGGGAGGAACTACTAATGCAAATGGTCTTACTCTCTGCTGTGTTAGCATCCCTACTGAATACTTGTAGGGGAACTGGAGGAAGTATTGCAGTCTCTCAGCTCCTCTTTCCTTTGCAGAATATGCAGGCTGCAGCAGAGTAAGAGTTTAGTGATGGGACTGAAGGTAGATGAAAAAATGGGAGAGCAGAATCCAAAATGTCTTTGGAAAACTGTAAAAATAGTTCATCATAAGCCTTTTTACTAAATAAAGTTTTAAACTTCCAGCCCTACAGCACAATTTATGGTCTGACACTGGTGTAGTTTTGTCCTGTTGATTCCTATGGGATTCCAAATCCCAGAGGGAGAGGTTCTCAACTCTAATGCTGCAGTGGGAGTAACTTTGCTCCCAGGATCTGGAAAGAAGCTTATGTATTGGTGAGTCAATAAGATCAGGCATGGCTAAAAACTGCCAGCAAGGACAATATCTGGTATTATTCCTTGCTTAAGTTTATAAGCTTTGAACCAGATATGACAAATAAGTACATTTCTTTGATGAAGCTTTTTGGCCTCACCTTCTTAAGCAGTACTATTGAGACTGAAGATTTATTTCTAGGGATGTTCTGTTGTGGGCTTTTGGGAACTGAATAAGGATCCCTTATTAAACTCAACTGAATTAATAAGAGAATTATTATGTGGTAGAATTCTCTTAGCGATCTGTCCTGCTCTCTCAAATTGTCCGTCTCCTTATGAGTGAAAGGAGCTTAAATTTTATGTTTGCAATTATAATATATCCTTTCTGATTTGGAGCTAGCAAACTGTGGCCTTTGAGCTGTGAGCATTCTCTTCTGAATACAGAAGCAGGTACATTAAAATATCTTTTTGTTTTAGATCTTGTGAAAGTCCACAAGCCTAGAACAATAAAATGAGATATGTTAATTTTATAAATACAGGTCTAATGTGACTCTTTCTGACTCAATTACAACTTATTTTGTGATGTGAAAAGTACTTACGTTCCTTTTAATCATTCTGCAAAACCTGCATGATGATTTTGTGCTTTGTTTTTTCAGTATTCTGTGCCCCCATTACTGGTTCTTTCTGTAAGGCCTTGATGTCTCCCAGAAATAAATTGGCTGAGACAACATCTCTTCTCTTTCTCTCCCTCCCTTCTTTTTCTTTTTCATCATGATAGTTTGCTGTATGTTGAGTTAAAAATGAGCATTGCCAGAGTTGGGTTGTGACACTTGGCAAGGGGTCCTGGAGCCAGAAATTCTTTTGTGCATGTGTGTGTGTCTCCTTTCTTGAGTCTTATGTCTGGCAGAGGAGAAATATCAGCTGAAAGAGCCTGGAAACTTTCCATCCTATCCAGCAAATTGCTATATTGTGAGGGCCAGTCCCAGGACAGAAATTCAGAACCACGTTTCACTCCTTGTTCTTATGCGAATGGTTACTTCCAATTAGATTTAACTCTGAATTAAGAGAAAAATAAACTTTCAACATGTGTGAAAAGAGAACCATCTGACTGCATGTATCCTAAAGGCAATTTGATCCTTCTCTAGAAGGATGCATCCCAAATAACTGGGATATGCTGAAGAAATCTGAATGCGATAGACCAAATTATCTTGGTTTATATACTGTTGCTTGGTGACATTTTTAATCAGATACTTGGAATGATTGCTCACAGAGGATGAAATTTATAGAGATCCTTATTTCTCCCAATATTATGCTTATATTATTGAGAGAACAAGCTACCCACTTTTTAGCAGATGTCGGAGCTCTCTCTCTGATATTGAAATGCATGTTTCATGAAGTAGGAATGCTTTGCTTAGATGTGGTCATTAAGGTTGTGTAACTGGTGGTGAAATTTGACCTATGGCAGCTTTTTTGTAAGTAGCCTTCCTAGTGATCTAAACAAGGAGTAAGAGACCAGTTCTTGTGACTTTGAAACTGGAGGGTAAAACCATAAACCTCACCAAGTTTAGTCAAGTTTTGCCACTGATATGAGCGAGAAATTATTTTTGTCTTCTCTGTTCTGTCACTGCTGCCTGTAGGATTTGCATTCTCAGAACACTGTCCGCTTTGCTGAGAATACAGTATCTGCAGTGGATCTGCAATTCCTTTTTCAGAACAAATGATGGGGTTTTCTCAGGTGTACATGTAATATGATTCTCCATCTCCTCCCTTCCCCCAAACTCTCTCGTAAGTGCTGCCTTCACCCTCTAGTCTGGGTCAGTTATTTAATGGCAATGAACATTTTCAGGAAGGTAACCTTTCTGCTTGTGATTTGTTCAAGGACTCTGGAATTATAATGGTTGCTGTCAAATGTATATAATTGGTCTCTGTGGCACACATCCAACGAGTGATAAAAGCTTCTTTCTCTCTGCTTCTTTAGTCAGTATTCTCTCCCTATATTACCCTCTCACTTTTGCTCCTCTCAGGCAAAAGGAGAATTCAGTGCCAGGCTGTTTAAAGTGCAATTTGACAAAACAGCAGATCTGCCATATACCCCATCATGGTGTGTGCTAGCTGTGGGCAGTGGATTACTCCTTGGCTGGAGGTTTTCACACTGACTTTAGTTAAAGGTCTTTTCTGAACTTTGATTTTGAACACCTCTCTTCCTTCATAATCTTCTGCCAAATATTTGGGCTCTAGAAATGGTCATAGTTTGTGAGTACCATGATTTCACATGCTTAATGATCTACAGGGGGTGCATTTAACATTTTACCAGCAGCCTTTGTACTTTAAAAGGCAAACACACAGGGTTCTTTTTCACAGCTTATAAAAGTACGTTACTAATACCACCAAAAGCTGGCAACATGTTGTGCATTGTCTGCTATCACTGCTGAATGTGTAGCGAAGAGAATGTTCTTGTTACCTTAGTCCTGCAAAACCTATTTTATCTTCAGTGCTGGATGGGGCATTACTTTCTAATGCTGTCTACTTCAGTGAATCTGTTTAGCAACTCCAGAGGAAAGAGAAATTTGTCAAATCTCACTGAAAATCTACCAGAAATGTCAAATGAAATGCTATAACATTCTGGTTTTGTCAAAAGGATGAAAGTATACAAAGCTGAGTATGTGATATTATTTGTAGTAATTGTTGCCTCAGTGATTTTGTCTGTGTAAGGTTAACACTGTGTAGTATTAACAGATATGTTTGTTCTGGTCCCTGAGGCCAGTTTGGCCTTACACAGATATACCTGTTTTTTGCCCAAGTCTGTTAGTCAGCCCTGTTTTTTGTAGTTCAGGGGAGAAATTCAGCTTCAGTGTAACCAATGAAAGGATTCCCACTGGCCTCCTGAGCACTGGCTGTTGGCTGCCAAATTTTCCTCAGGTTGTAATTGAGGTGCTGAAGAGTAAATTTAACATAGGCTTTCTGTTTAAAATGGGATAAGGATTTTTTTCCATTTGAATGGAGAAAAAGCTGTATGCTGGCAGTACATATATGGATATCATTAGCAGTTAATGGATTGTTTCCACTTCATTTTTTACAGCTTTATATGTGTATAAACATTTCTAATCTAGCTGTGCCCATAGTTGAAATCAGTATGAGTATGCTTAGTAGGTTATTACACACTTTTAATATATTTGAGCACAAAAGTAAGTTCCTCCAGGTTTTGAAACACCAATAAAGAAACCTTTCAAATGTTTCCCTCTCTGAATTCTGAATCCTGAGCAAACTGGGAAAACACCCGAACGTTGCTTCAACTCTTTTTCTAAAGATTACAGCAAACACACTTCATTTCCAAACTACAGTGCACCTAGTGATTGAATCTTTTCTACTTGATCATGAACTGAAA